CTGGACAAATCCCCCGGGAATCCTTCACCTTCTTCTTCTCAGCCATCCATTGCCAGTTAGGAGCTAGTCAGGAGCCAACTAGGAGTGCCCGGATCGTGCTGCATCAGATCCATTTTTAGGTTTAATATCCCAAAAAGAAACATCTTTCATATATTTGCTTTTAATGAGTTTAACCCAAAGATTATTTTCTTCATTTAATATTCTTCATCCTAATTTTGCAAGGTTGGCTTCATTTACCCATTGAAGATTTCTAACTCCTAACCCTCCCCATCTTTTGGGAGTACAAATGCAGCTCCATTTCATTAAATGCAAGGGTTTCTTCCCTTCATTCTTTTTCCATATAAATTCTCTCTGAGCTCTTTTCAACTTTTCTAAAGCATTATTTGGAATTTTAAAAGACCTCATGATATATTTGATATATTGGGACATCATGTTTGTAGTGGAGTTAATCAATGTAAGTCTTCTTGCTAATGAAAGAGATTTTTTTTTTTCCAATTTGCAAGTTTTTGGATCATTTTCCCCTTGACAAAGGCAAAAATATTCTTTGTAATTCTTTTGTTGATTGAAGGAGCACCAAGATAATTCTTTGGATCCAATTCCTTAGGAATTCTAAGCATCATTCAAATCATTTTTTGAACTTTTGGGTGAATATTCCTTGAAATAAGAACTAAAGATTTGTTGAAGTTTGGGGTTTGTCTTGATACTTTCTCATAATTTGAGAGAATTTCTTTAATTTTCATGCATGCAGGAACTGAAGTATTTGCAAAAATAATACAATCATCAGCAAATTACATAATGGGGATCTTTGGACCCCCTCTAGAGATTCTGCACTCAATATCTTTGGTACCAGCATCTGCTTCTTTTTCCAAATTCTTTGCAAGAGCCTCCGCACAGAGAACAAAAATGTAAGGAGATAGAGGATCCTCTTGTCGAATACCCCTACTTGGAAAGAATTCAGCCAAAGGGGTTTCATTAATTAAAATTTTGTAAGAAACCGATTTGATGCATTCCATAACCCACACAATTCACTTTTCATCGAAACCATACTTTTGAAGAACCTTTTCAATGTAATCCCATTTCAACTTATCATAAGCTTTCTCCATATCAACCTTGCAAGCCATTATTCCTGATTTACCCTTCTTTTTTTTCATAGAATGAATCATCTCATGAATTATTGAGAATAAAAACACTTTGAAATGGGGAGAAAATGTTGTCAAGAAATGGTTTAATTCTATTGATTAGGATCTTCGCAATAATTTTGTAAATGATATTACATAGGCTGATTGGCCTATAATCATTTGATCAAAGTAATGAAGGTTTGGCTCAAAATTCTACACATTTTTCCTTTATGAAAGAAAGSTAACACCACAGATGGATTCTCCAATGGTATTACAATAATTCTTAAAAAATAATACATTTAACCCATCAGGACGACCTGGAACCTTAACCTCCTATTGGCGGCATATCATGAATTTCCTCATTTAAGACAATCTTAATAATCAAATTATTTTGATTTGGGAAATCAGAAATATCGAAATACCTTCTTCCATCCTCAGACCTTATCTCCACCGTCCAAAAATGCCCCAAAATCTCAACCCTTCAAATAGTATCCGGTTTTCTCCCTTACCGACTTACCGTATGCGATTACTATGATACCCCCATAAAACTCACAAATAACAAAATAAAAAAAAACCTTTAAACCCTACTATTTAAACCCACTATTGTTTCAAATTAAACCTAATCCGAAGAACAAAAGAATTGCCCTTCACCGCCTTGTTCGAACATCGAACTTGCAGCGGCGGTGGTTTCTTGCTTGTTCCCTCTCCTCTCTATTTTTTCTCACCATTTCCTCTCTTGTCTTTCTCTTTTCCTTCTTCTCTCCTTCTCTTTTTCCTCTTATTTCTTTTTTCTTCTTTCTTCCTCTCCTCTCCTTATTCTTGTTTTCTCTTCTAGACTTCCACCACTAAAACCTAGAACCACCGCACCTCTTCCCCACTTTTTTCTTTTTTATTTTTCCCGTTCTTTCCCGGTATTCACACACCCCACTTTCGGATTGCTGTAACAATCACCAAAGCAAAGATCGAACCAGGTCTGCAAATCTGAATGCGCATCACATGGTTTCCGATGGTTCATCTGCACATCTACAATCGGCGAATTGATTCCATCGTATTCTGTTAACTCCACCGTTGGGAGCTGATTCTCAACAGCATTGATTCTTAGAATTAAGGATACACTGAAGACAGGTAAAATACCTTCTTATTTTCATGGTTTTTCTTCTATTCTTGCTACTGGCCTAATTGATTAGCCCATAGAAGGTAGTGCTAATTCATGGAAGTCCAACTGGTGGTTTGTGTCTATTTTTATCTGACATTTTAGAAATCTAGTTGAGTGTATTTCGATTCATTTTGATTTCCAATGTCTGGATCATACAATATCAGTCCCTACTTATATTCGATGCAATCGATGTTCTTTGCTCCCCTGTTCTTACCTTTCATTTTCCGCTCATTCCTGCTATAGTGTCATTCTATTCTACTGTAGCTACAATTGATATAGCTTTCCGATTCCAATTAATGGCTAGTTCCTTTTATCTTGTCCTCTGTTTTCGACTAGTTGGTTATATCAATTTGAATCAATTATTTTCTGCAATTTCTAGTTTGTCTTTCTAGGACCAATTAACTTAGCTTTTTTTCTCGTTTATCTTAGGATTGAATTTACTAGTATGGTTGATCATTAGATTAGTTTGTTYGACGTGGATAATAACCAAATAAATGGTACACAGTTTAATTTTACGGATGTCAAGTGGTAGACTCCGAGTAGGACTCTTTTTGAGCTGCACTCGCACCAATACCCCTGTGCTCAATGAGGTGGGATGGTGGATAACTACACAATGAGCTTGGATCGAAGAATAGAATAATGGGGGATGGATAAAGCCTTGGTAAACAAATCAGCTAATTGATCCTGAGAGGCAATGTTCTGGACACGTAAGCACTTTCTAGCAACACATTCTTGAACAAAATTGTAATCAATGGCTAAGTGTTTGGTGCGAGCATGATAGATGGGGTTTGCAGCCAGCTACGTAGCATTGACATTGTCACAAAAGAGCATTAGGGGTGCTTTAATAGAGAAACCAAGCTCAGTTAATAGTGACTTCAATAAAATCAGCTTGGTTGTAGTGTCAGCAAGGGACCTGAACTCTTACTCTGTACTAGAGTGAGTGATGGTGCACTGCTTACAAGAAGTGACTGCAATAAAATCAAGCTCAGTTAATAGTGACTGCAATAAAATCAGCTTGGTTGTAGTGTCAGCAAGGGACCTGAACTCTTACTCTGTACTAGAGTGAATGATGGTGCACTGCTTACAAGAACTCCAAGCAACAGGGTGTGGGCCCAAATAAATAGCATAGCCACCAGTCAAGTGCTCATCATCTGGCACCCAGCCCAGTTGGCATCTGTATAGGCAGTGAGAGAAATCTTTGCTAGATTTAAACCATAAATCAGCATTCAATGTATGTTTAAGATACCAAAGGATGTATTTTTATGCAACAAGATGATCTTTAATGGGGCATTATGTGTATTGGCAGACATGATTCATGGCAAAGGATATGTCAGATCATGCCAGAAGGATCTGCTAGAGGCTTACCACTGGACTTGGAAAGGGAAGTAGAAGACACAAGAGGAGGCACCATCAAGATTGGCGTGTTTCAGCAAGTCTAAATGAACTTCTGCTGAGAAAGAATCAATCCTTGAAAGGGACGAGACACCTCCATTCCCGAGAAATAATGCAAGTTGCCAAGATCTTTAAGCTTGTGAGCTTAAGAGAGGAGACATGGCTGAAGTACTGTTGCTAGTTAATAAGATATCATCAACATATATAAGCAATAGAAGCATAAAACTTTCTTTTCCTGTAAATGAACAAGGAGGGGTTTGAAGTAGCTCCATGAAAAGCTAAATACTGTAAGAATGAGCATGATGACAAAACCAAGTTTGGGGAGCTTGTTTCAGTCCATAGAGAGCCTTATGGAGTAGTCTAACATGTGTAGGATGTGGAGAATCAATTAAGCCCTCTGGTTGTTCCATAAAAACTTCCACTTGTAAGTGTCCATGAAGGAAGGCATTATGTATATCGAGCTGTTGTATGACTAGTTGTGCATGATAGCAAGAGAAAGCACACTATGTATGGCATTGTGACAGACCATGGGACTGAAGGTATCATCAAAGTCAACAGATGGGTGTTGTGTGTAAGCATAAGTCGAGCTTAGTAGCACTCAATAAAACCATCTGCCTGATGTTTGTGTTGATAGATCCATCTGGGGAGAACATTTGTGTTAGGTCTATATGGTACAAGAGACCAAGTACCTTTTACATTACAACATCAAATTCTTTGAATATGGCATGATTCCAATGCTCACTTTTGAAAGCCGTAGAGAATGATGTGGGTTTAGACATGCAATTTGAGATTTGCGCAACAAGGGCGGCAATAATAGAATACCTTGTATCGAAAGAAGCATTAGAGCTTTGAGCACAAGATTGTGAGCATGTAATTGTAGAATGTGTGTGTCCAGTAGGCTATTGCAAATTGGAAGTGTCATGAGGACCATGTTGGATAATATCATGTAATGAGTGAGTGTGCTGAATATGAATAGGAGAAGCATATTCAAGTAGTGTGGAAGACTAAGATGATGCCAATGAAGGAGAGGCAACACTAACATGTGAGGATGAAGATGTAGTAGTGTTGYCATTATTCATATAATTGCAAGAACGTGGAATTGACATAAGAATCACAACTTGATGTTGTTGGCAAAGTTAATATTGGTCCTTGGGGGGGTGTAAGAAGAAAAATGATGGGCTCTGGTGCATGATTGGCACTAGGAGAAATGTTGGGTGTTGACGTAGCAAAAGAAAAGAGAGTTTCATTGGAAGACAACATCTTTAGGAACATAAACCCGACCAGTGGAATGTTGAAAACACCTATACCCTTTGTGTTGGGGACTACACCCAAGAAAAACACATTAAGAGGAATGATAATCAAATTTGTGCCCATTATTAGCGATGAAGGAAAAGTATAACAGACACAACTAGAGGTTCTCAACAAAGTGTAATCAGGAGCTTGTTTAAAAAGATTTTCAAAGGCTTAAGCCCAATAAGAGGAGTGATAAGTCAATTAATCAAGAAGGTAGTAGTGTAAACCACCTAATCCCAGAAATTAAAAAGATGAGATGCCTGCTTGAGAAGAGTAAGCGCTATTTCAATAATGTGACAGTGCCACCTTTCGATAGAACCATTATGAGAATGATTGTTAGGGCAAGTGACACTATGAGTGATGATGCCAAATGGTCTAAGTTGCCAGTAAAGGAGCAGTATTCACCACCCCAATTTGATAGGAGACTTTTTATTTTGCAATGGAACGTATTCTTTACATGTTATTTGAAATGCAATAATATATCAATGGCAACAGATTTGTGCACCATAGAAAAAACCCAAGAAAATTTTGACTAATCATCAACATCAAAAACTATATAGAAACGACTTTCATTATGAGAAGTAATTAGAGTGGCACCCTACATATCTGAGTAAGTAAGTTCAAAAGGAGACGAGGAAGCAAATTTGGACTTCTTATGTGGTAACTTGTGGCTCTTTGTAGGTTGGCAGATTTAACAGACTTAGAAAGACCATTATAATAAACTGGAAGATCAAACCTAGACACAATACTTTGAACCATTTGAAGAGAGGGATGACCCAATCATGCATGCTGTCACAATTTTTGTATTAGCCTTGAGTTCTGATACCATAATAATGTCAAAAAGTATCATATGAAAATTGTGACAAATTGAGAAAAAAAGCTTGCCTGCTGATTTGTGGCAGTCCAATGTTTATAATTGCAGAATCAACATTACAATAGGAAACAATTAGTTACACTGCAGGTAATTCTCTCCATTTAATTGAATAGGTGTAAAAGGAATATTGGGTAACCCAAGGCTGGTTCCCAAAGAGAGTTATCACTTGTATCAGAAATGGGTGTATTAGCCTTGAGTTCTGATACCATAACAATGTGAAAAGTATCATACAAAAATTGTGACAAATTGAGAACAAAGCTTGCTGCTGATTTGTGCCAGTTCAATGTTTATAATTGCAGAGTCAAAGTCACAATAGGAAATTAGTTACAAAACAGATTACTTGTACACAGTCCTATCCTAGTCAACTTCTTAAACTCCATCTTTGTCAAGTAGTAGACTCTGAGTGGGACTCTTGTTGAGCTGCACATTTACCAATAGACTTTTATCCTCCCAACGAGCCATTCAACCTAAAAGCTGTTAGGAAGTCCCTGAACAGGTTTTCATTCTCTAACATGCCCCCTCATGTGAAAGCCCATTGGGCTTGAAGTGTGGATAAGCGCAAGCCTATTTGGTTAAACAGGCTTTGATACCATCTCGAGGAACCATTCAACCTAAAAGCATAAGCTGCTGGTGAGGTCCGTGAATAGGTTTTTATTCTCTAACAGAGTGGATATTTCATTTTGCTGATAAAAAATCATCATGGGTAGTTTTCATTTTTAGGATAGTCTCCCCCTTTTTAGTTTTGTGTTTGACCCTCTTCATGCTTCAAAGTTACTTTGAACAATTACCAAATTTCTCTCTCTTTTAATGTCTTTGTATTTGATTATTGGCATCATTTCAGTTATTGTCCGGTTATGCATGGTCATATTTTGTGAGGGTCCCATCCCCTATCAGTAGGTGTTCATCTTCTTGATTAGTTGATTAATCCTCCTATCGAGTCACTCATTTGGTTGATATGTTTGGTGTGAATCCATGCTGTGGGCATTGCTTTTGCAGTAACTAGAAGATAGCATCCTGTTTAGTCAATCTTGTTTGATGGTTAGGAAAATGGTGAATGGTTAAGTATTCTTTTTTCTTTTATGATATTTGATAATCTTGGATGCTTAGTGCGAATAATTCTCAATATTCACATTATGCTTATGCTTGTGCTTGTTTGAGTTTCCTCTAGTGTGTCTAGGCCCTATTTGCTGATTGAGCCAGTGCCTTAGGTTTGGATTCACTATTAAGATAAAACGATTTCAAGCATAATGCCTGAGAGGCCTGTCACTCTCAATTTAATCAAATGATGGGTGGTGGCTGGTGACTTGAAATCAGCCCAGATAAGCCATTTCCCACAAAACTGAGAAGCTCGCTTTTCTTTTATTGGCTATCCACCCTCCTAAATTACAGGTTCTGTGTGTGAAGGACAAACTATGTTTTCTTTGGTCTAGACAATTATATAAATTTTAACATGTAAAGTTACTCTGTGCTTGCAATTCTACCAGCCTTTGGTGGGTTATACTCTACTTTTTATGGGAGTCTAACTAACTGACTATAAGGTAGAAGACAGGTTACAACATCATACTGCTATAATCCATTGCTGCAACTGAGAGAGCACCTTTCCTAGACATTAACACAAAACTACAATGGTTGGATGTTCTTTAAAATCTGGTTTACTAAACTACTATTTTTTTTTAAATAAAAGAATTAATTGGATGATTAGCTTACTTGGTGGTGGTTGTTTCTCCATTATCCATCCTAGTTATTTCAGTTGTTCATTGTGGAAAGGCTTTGCCATTTCATTTCCTTAACAAGTAGAGAGCTAATAGTGTTGTTTAATGCATTTTCAGTTATATAGATGGCTAACTACATTCTTTTCCCTTTATTTATTTTTTCAGATAGGTTTCCAATCAAATAGAAGTGGCTGTGCTCAATAAAAGACCAACAATGTCCATTGAGGATACATTGGAGGAGGATGGAATGGGAGATGTTGATCATGAAACATCTGAATCTGAGTCAGAATCTGAACAGGAGGATGTAAGGTTGACTGAGCCTTCTAAGAAGTCTATATACAATAGGGACGGTCTCCTAGAGAAGCTAAGTGATATAAGTTGGCCTGATAATGTAGAATGGATCCAGAAGCTATCTATTGTTGTTGATCAAGAGAAAGAGGTTGATGTGAATGATGACTTGGCACGTGAGCTCTCTTTCTACACCCAGGCATTGGAAGGAACTAGGCAGGCCTTTGAGAAATTGCAAGCAATGGGGATCCCTTTTCTCCGGCCTCCTGACTATTATGCAGAGATGGTGAAGACAGATTCTCACATGGAGAAGGTAAAGAGCAGGCTCTTGGAGCAGAAGAAAAAGATTGAGGAGGCTGAAGAGAGAAGAAAAGCTAGAGAAGCCAAGAGGATAGCTAAAGAAATTCAGGCACAGAAACTCAAAGAAAGAGCTAAACAGAAGAAAGAAGAAATTGAGTCTGTGAAGAAGTGGAGGAAGCAGAGACAACAGAGTGGGTTTTCTATGGGAGGAAAGGATGGTGATATGGGGCTGACCTTTGAAGATGGGAAAAGCTTTGAGAGGTCAAGTAAGAGGAGGCCTGGGGTAGCTCCTGGTGATAGGTCTGGAGGGAAGGCTAGACACGGTGGCAACAAAGGGATGAAAGGTATGGATAAAAAGAGGAAGAACAGGGAATATAGGGAAACCAAGTTTGGATTTGGGGGGAGAAAAGGTCTTAAGAAGCAGAATACTTCAGATACTACAAATGACATGCGAAGTTTCAATCAAGGCAATATGTCTGGAAATAAGAAAAGAAAGAGGTAATCAATCTATCTTATTCTTCCATCTATAATCGTGGAACTGCTGTTTGATTGAGGAATGCTGCCCAAGAAGTTGTGGAAGATGTAATTCCATATAATTATCACTGCTTTATTAAAATGAATCTTTTGTACCCTGTTGAGCATTTTGGTAATTTTTAACTGGTTTGTTTATTTTGAACAATTCTTGTAGTTCTCTTCTCTGTTTTATTGTTTCTTGAAGTCAAGTTGTCTTGCATTTCATGATGTTTCTGACTTCTGTTAAAGGTTTCCAATTCCTTTTTTTTTTCGGCGTAGATGGTATTGACTGATAAAAAAAGACRTTCCAGTTCAGAAAATAAAAACAACTCCGTAAGGTCAATTCCATACAATTGTATCCAAAAATCTAAAATTATATGCTTACCAAAAGAGAATCCCGCTAACCCGTTAGGAAACAGGCATAGTTGGCAGTTGGCACGATTGCAACATTAGTAATTTTTACCCTAATTCGCTGCTGTACTGGACTTTTTATCTGGGTTTAAGTTCATAGTTACCTGGTTCTCTAGTGTATTTTGGATTATGATTCGAAACAACTGTGATGGGGATGATTTCTAAATCCCGACTCAAATATTGTTGTGTATGTTTGGTAATATTTAATTATAATTGAGTCTATGCCTTCATTCATGAAAGAAGATACGAGGGAGCTATTTGATTTTTAAATGGAGTTCTCACTTAATGGATTATGGGAGAAGTTTTCGGATTTTAATTAGGTATATGGGCTTTGTCTAATCTAAGTTGAAGCACATTTTTAATGAGATGTCTTGTAATTTGACACCGAATGCAACTGAGCCCAACGAGTTGTCAATAAGCCGAGCTTTACTCRGCTAAGTTACGGGTGTTAATGAGCTGAGCTTTATCCTGATTGGCTTGGATTTGTGGACTAATACTTGAGCTCAGGCTTTTTTTTTTTTTTTTATACAACATTTTGATTGAAGCCCAAATTTAAAACCCATAATCTGAGTTGGTCTTTCTAGCCCAGACAAGTAAATCTGGACACGAGTTTGGCTTCAGTCGGGGCAAAGCCAGTTCGAGCAGCCTTTACTGCCTTGCATTGAGAAGATATTCCCAAATGCAAGGTTGGGAAAGGCTGTTGGAACGACGTGGGCATAGGTTTGCCCTGATGGAAGCCATTCTCATCTGACACTATCCAAATTCCTCTCTTTATCCTAGAAAAATAGTTGGCCCGAAAGGCAGCCACATGTGTATCTGGTTTTGAGCAATTTTAAAGAGATGGTTGAAAATATAACTTGTGCAAATAGTCATTTTCTCGATAGCTCTCTTATTTGTGCAAGGGCTCTATGGAGTGGATTATAAGTGAGAATTAGGAACATCTCCCCGTGCATAATACTATGTTGGAAGTTGAGATATTTCCCATTTCTGGTTGTGATGTTATGTGGGTAAATGTGGGGTGAGCATGGGTTAGTTCGGTTTGGCTTCATAGAAGAACTTTGAACTTACGCTCTAGGTGTTAGTTTTAGCCTTTTGGAATCAGAACCTACCCTACAAAGAGGTCAGTTCTGGCCTTGATGGTTCTGGGCTTGGTTCTAGGGTTTATTCAAGGAATTTTTTTTAATTCTTAAAAAATGAATCACGTTCTTTAAAAACTTGATTTTTAATGAGAAGTCTTGTAGATTATCATTATATGGTTTGAAACTTATAATTTAAATTTAAAATTTGTAATTATTGTCTTTTATTTTACTTATTGTATACATTCAAATATTGAAATGAAAACAAATGATCAAATTACACAAGTAGCTCAATAATCAGGTGGGACCACGAATTTGGAATCAAGGCAAGTTTAGGGATGTCTTTTACATCCTTAAAAGTATTTTGGGTATTCAAAGGCAAGTTTAGTTCCAAGGTAGGTTCCTCCAATGACAACCAAGGCTGGCTCAGCGGGTCGGTTCTGGTAGGATAAACCTCTACACCTTGAAACCAGCTTGGGTGGGGGTTGGTTCTAAGAATTTGGACCCAAGCCTTACCCTATAACAGATTGGGTAGGTCGGTACAAGGCTGGTTTGAGGTTGGTTTTGAGTTGAACCTACCCATTTGCTCACCCTAGGGAGAAGGGGAGACCAATAAGAGGTAATGGAACAAATTGCAGAATTGTAGAATGAAGTGCATGAATTGAGWTGGAATTTTATATCACATACTATCAATACATTTGCACCATTTTTAAGTTTGGAATCTTTTCAATATCCCTCTTTAAACTCCTATTTATTAWTACAAATTATTGATAAAAAGCACTCGGGCTCAATTTGGAAAGAGTACAAATACAAAACATGTACAACACAAATACATACGAAATAATACAAAATACAAAGTTTTGCATCTATATATTTGTATTTATACTCCTTCCAAACTGAGTCAGGTACATCTGTAAGGTTGTGAATTACCGAGTTTGCAACCTGTAGAATCCATTCCATATTTGCTTCTTGTTAGTTGTCACTTTATTAGATTTGTTTTAACTTAAAGCCAACAGTCATGCCCAAAAATGGAGGTGGCTGATCAAACCCCAGAATCGTAGATAAGGGTGGATTCAAGCCGAGCTGAACCGAATACTTGGCTATTCGAGTTTGACTCACTGAAATTGTTTTAGGCTTGAGCTTACTTTGAGCTAGAGACTTGAGCTCAAGTTTGGTTCGGTTCAAAGCTCACAAGTTTGAATTAAGCTCGGCTTGAGCTCGATTGCAAGCCAAGTTTTTTTCTAAAAAATAAAAATTATACATACAAAAATATTTTTTATGTTACACAAAATTAATAATTACATATAAAAAAATAAAAAATATATATAAAAATTTTTTTATTTTACATACAAAAATTAAGAATTATAAAAATTATTTACTATTACACAAAAAATAAAATATTATTATGTATATAATACAAATTATTTATTAAATATATTTATATATTTATATGTATGCATGTATTAATAAAAAATATTTATTTATTATACTAGGTTCGATTAAGCTTGCAAGCCTCATGAGCYGAGCTTCATTGGGCTCGAGTTTGGATTGATTAGCTAATAAGCTATATATTAGGCTTGAGCTCGGCTTGTGGCCACCCCTAACTGACTCTCCATGGTAAGGTGAATGGACCTTATGTTTACCCTAAGGGCTGTCAATGTGCTCGTTTTATTTGATTGACCAAACCAAACTGAACCAATTATATTGGTTCTGGTTCAATGATTTTTTTTATTAATAATTGGAATGGTTTTAGTTCTTGCTTTTGTTTACGCTAGGTTCTTGCTTGTTTCAAACTAGTTATTTTATTAATTTATGAGTAATTAGCTATTTTGTTATCATTTTTATTTGCATAAATAATTGTAGTTATCCCGAACCAGATCCAACCTGTTGACAGTATTCATCCTGTTGTGTGCCCAAGCTTGCGTGAGTCGCTCGTAATGTGTTCTATGTAATGGCCAAAATAGTGAATATTCTGTATCGTCCTGATTATTATTATCCAATTTAATAAAACCCATCTGGTTGGAAGATTTGATTTAGACACATCAGGTCAAAGTTCAAAATATCAAGGGCGTGTCAATCTGTGTCGGTGCTTTTTTTATTTTTTAAATATAGGGGCGTATCAAGAAGCTCCCAGCACGATACCATAGACATTTTGAACCTTGCATCAGGCCATTTGGATGATGTTAACCACCAAACGACCATCTCTCTCTCTTGGAGAATGGTTTTCCAAAGGGAAGAGAGAGCAATACAATACAAGAAATTGGAATGATTGTGATCTTATTTGTCAACAGGGTAGGATCTCTGACTCGTCAGAATAGAGACCTTGGATGATGGGATCAAATCCCATTGCCACTGGGATTGGGTGGCGGGTATCTGACCACTTTTGAGGGTTAATACCTTACTTAGATATGTCCTAATCCAATATTAAATGTAGGGGATTTTATAGTTCAGTTCACCCTTAGGGGGGAGCTAAGATTTCTAGGGGATGCATTTTATAGAGGGGCTATTAGTAGACTACCAAGAGAAGGCTGCAGTTTCAGATTTCTGAGATGGATTGCAGTCCACTTATCCCTTAAATGTGTATCACCCTTTTGACTAGTGCAATATACAGTGAGCCACAGCGTCGTGCTCTCCTTACAAAAATGGCAAAGCAAAACTTGGCGGAAGTCATCTTTGCATCCAAATTTGACTATAAAGTGTGGCCACAATTTCAGTTTTCTTTGAGAATGACTGTCTACTGCGCCCCTATTCTTGAAAAAAATTTAACAAGTGATTGAGATTGAAATCTGGAAGTCAGTTCAAGATTCAGAGTTGATATTCTCATTTGCTTTACTGAGGTAAGGCTTCCATGATGGGCCTCAGGTCATGATCTTCAACATAGAGCCTCAATTATTAACAAACCCCAAACTAGAAATGCCACTATTTTACAAATGAGCTATGAAGTAAGGGTTCAATTATAATGCTGGAAACACATGATACTGTAAAAACTTGTACCCAATCAACCAGCATCATAAAAGTGGTAACAATCAGGTAGGCTTTCATTAAAATTCACCATAGGGGGGTTGCTTGAGTATTGGGATTCTGGTGTTAGCCAAGCTCTCAAATTGATTAAGAGTTGGGACCTCCATCAATTAGAATAATTCGAATTAATCGAGGTCAGAGTAAATTGAGGATGATTCAAATGATGTTATCCATGAAAAATTCTTCCTGAACTAGAACACGGAAATGTATAAAAATCAAAAAGATTATCTATGACCATGCATTAAAACTGATTACATTACAAACAGTCAATAGCAGCATAACAATAATTCTTATAGGTCTTGAGTTATAGCTTTCAAAGATGATTTGAACTTACGATAGAAAAATTATGACATTGATTATTTGTGGCAGTACAGTACAGGACCTGCCTAACGCAACCATGAAAACATACTTCATAACTATAACGGACTGAGAACAATTTTATCTAAAACACTAGATATAATTGAATCATTCAATAAAAAATGTAAAGTTTAATAATTCTAATGACGCCACATTCTGGACGGGCAAATGATGTACATAAGAATTACACCAAATCGGCAGAGCACAAAGCATCCATATCTCAGGAGTGTACAGGGCCTCTTTTCCACCATTGAGACCTCAAAATACTTTTACAGTAACAAAGATGTGACTCAGCAACAGTAACATATCAATCCTTTCTCAAGCAGTCAATAAATATAATGCATATATGAGCAAGACAAATGCTGCAAAGATGGAATCACTAAACCTGGGAGCTTTGATGGAATGTGGCAGGAACCATAGAAGAATGTATAGAACAGAAAAGGCCCTTAAAGAACACCGGAGATTAATGCTAGAGTTTTGGGTCATTGAAACTTCTAATCCCCCAGGTTTCGGTCTCCTTTGAGTACCACAAAAATGAAAGGACCTTAAAAGAATCACCATTTATAGACTAATAATTCACATCAACTCACTTGCTCTCCAATCAAATCAAGACCGACTACAAGGAAAGTGATTCCTTGAAATAACAAAAAGTAGAAGTGAATCCCCTGTGCAGACAATAAGCTTCTTAAGGATGCAGACAACAAAATAAATGCAAGAGCAAGTTCCTTCCTGTACAAACGGTTTCTCCTTTTATTTGTGGTTTTCTTGGTCTTCTCTAATTTGTTCAGCTCAGCAAGGTCTGATTCTGAAGAAGCCCTGAGGAGACCTGCACGTTCTACTTCATTGGATTCCTTTTCCACAAAAGCAACTAAATCTGCCTCTGATGATCTACCCAACTTCTTAGTTACAATCCACTCATAGGAACTGCCAAGTCTGAATAGTCCCGATATCATTGCATGGAATTTTGTAACTGACATTGTGTTCTCAAATAGAAGGTAAGGGACAATGAATGGGAATGATCTTGGGGCTGGAAGGATATTCAAAACGGACATGATTCCAGGCACATAACATACCACCCAAGCTGGTAATTCAGCTTCTGGCAGGAACATTGTCAATGGGAGAATAATGCAGAAGAGAGTGAATGAATACAAGGGCAGGATGAGTTTCCTTAACAGGAAGAAAAGAAAGATCAAATTGGCCTTCTTTGCCCAACTTACCTGATATAACAAAAGAAAGAACATATCACTCAAGGAATAGAACAAAACATCAAATGACATGCAATTCTGCAGACATGACATTATCCAGGTTTCAGTATCAAAAATGTTGCAATCGTTATCATGGTTTCAGATGGGATTTTTTAGGGCACATATCATCTTTTATAAAATGGGCATACCCTAATTAGTAGTCAAAGAGTACATTTTTAAAGGACAAAAACATGCTCATATATTGAATATTATCATTATAAACAGGGGGTTTCTTTTATTTGCATTGGGAGTTTTCCAGTTTAACAGAAATGGATGTGCTCGTAAAGTCCAGATCTGCTGGAAACAAAATGTTTAATACTTATTGTTAGATTTTGAGTGGGCCCAACCGCAAATCCAAGCAAACTGTAGTTGAAATTCATGAAATCAGGCAACTGATTTGCACCCCTAACCATAGTTGTCAAGGCGCCTAGGCGACTAGGCGCTTTTCAAAGAGTGCCTCGTCCAAATGCCAAGAAAAAATGTATTAGGTGCATGCATGGGGGACTGAAACACATATATAATATACAATATTTATTAAATAAATATAAAATATATAAAATTTTATTGGTTGGTTTTTGTTTTTATAATAGGACATGTTGCATGTTATCATGTTTTTGTTGTGAGGAAAGTAAAAAACAAAGTAATCTCAAGGGTTTCACTTTGACAAAAGAATCGAACTGAGGAAGAGGAGAGAACAGCCCTCCATCGTTCTGACACAGTCCTCTAACTCAAGGTGAGTTAATCAGTTTCCTCCATTTTGTTCTCTTTTTCCACTGGTTTAAAACAGTGGCTACACCCCATTTTTCTCCTCTTCCTTTTTGTTGGACTAAAACCATTCTTCTTTCCTAGTTTTAATCATATTATTGGACTACAGGGGCTCCTCCCTCTTCTTTTGTTCTTAAATTTCTTGCATGTTTTCAGCTTTTTTCCCTCATTATTGGTGTCTGAAACAGGGGCTCCGCCCCTTCTTTTATTCTTCATATTCTTCTTTTATTTTAGTATTTTTTTCACCAGCTTTTATGGGTCCAGAACAGGGGGCTCCGGCCCCTTCTTTTGTTCTTAACTTCTTGCATTTTTCAGCTTTTTTTTTGTACTCATCATTGGTGTCTGCAACAGGGGCGGAGTCCCTTCTTTTCTTCATATTTTTCTTTTATTTTAATATTTTTTGCCAGCTTTTCTGGGTCTAGAACAGGGGCTCCGCCCCTTACTTTTCTTCTTTTATTTTAGTAATTGTTCTCATCAAGAAACACAAGCACAAAAGTAAGTGCAGAGTACATAAAACCAAAAGAACTAGTTCAGAAGGGGTAGAAATCCATTGAGTTCTTATTTATAAATTCCATTGCCTAGGCTCGCCTTGGCGCCTTGAAAACTATGCCCTAACTTGCTAGGTACACCAAACCAGAAACAAATATTTCGGCTGATTATAAATTTAGAATAACATGGATCAGCTGAAACATTTTTCCTTATTTGGCGCATTAGCAAGTGACACATCTTGTTTTCCAGCAGATTTGAACTTGCGCCCAAATGAGTCCCTATTTTATATTTCAGGAGACTCAGGACCTATTTCACAAAGGATTTCGTGTAAGATTTTATATTTCTTTGTTTCCTTTGGGCCATTACATTAATGATTTGGAAATTTGAGAAGTAGATATATGTAATTGTCTAGACGGTTTGGTGTTTTTTCTTTCTTTCCTTCTGTTAGTTTTTTGGGTGATGGGGTAGCATCTAGAAGATCAGTTCCCCCTATCTCTTGGGGATCTTCATATGAGACTTTACATTTATTTATTACCTTTGGGCCTTTAAAGTGAAGAAAGAGAAGATCTCAGAAAACTTGAGAAATAGATCAAAATTTAAATTGTTCCACTCATTTACTATTGCGCATCAAAATTCTAGTAAACTTCCAACTGCCAAAATTTTCTTAAGGGAATATGATATGTTCAGTGAAATTTCCACATCTACATGACATTAAAAAATGAAGGATAAAAGATGTGAGAACATATAATGCAAGAGTACTGACCTTTGAACGAAGGATGTCAAAGAAGCACATGCGAAACAACTGCATTGGACCTGAATGCCATCGGTGCTGCTGTTTCTTGTATGCTTCATAGGATTCTGGGAGTTCACAAAGGCACTAAAGAAAAAGAAAAGGAACAGGTTAATGGGCCATTTGGAATTCATTTATGGAACTGTGAGGAAAGCTGGCATAATGATAGCATACGACAAACCTTTACATCATTCAGATATATGAACTTCCATCCATTAAGATGAGCTCGAACAGCAATATCCATGTCCTCAACAGTTGTTCTTTCCATCCAACCACCTGATTCCTCCAAAGCTTTAATCCTCCATACACCAGCAGTACCATTGAAACCAAAGAAGTTGATAAATACACCATTTACTTGTTGTTCAACCTCAAAGTGGAAGGACAAGTTTATGTTCTGCAACCTTGTGAGCAAGTTTTCATCCTTGTTTACAAAGGTCCATCTTGTCTGGACCAATGCTAGATCATCATTCCCCTTCAGGAAGAAAAAAATGCCAGTCAATTTACATTTCTTAACTTACAGTGATATGAAAAAGAAAGTGAAAAATGAAAAATGGATAAACTATCCATCTCCTCATAAAAGTTATTTAAGCATGTATATGCCAACAGGAATTTATGACAAGGTCTGCAATTTAGGGTCCGTTTGTTTTACAGTSAGAATCAGAATTGGAATACTTGAGGAATTGGAATTTGAATGGTCTATTCCCATAGTCTGTTTGGTTCAGACAGAAATGGGAATGAGAATTGAAATCAGCAGGAATGGGTTTTCATCCCCAAGGGAGGGGGAAGGAATGACCATTCCCTCAAATGGAGGAATGCCATTCCACAAGGAATGGGAATGTGATTCCGATTCCTCCCAACCAAACAGTTGGAATCGGAACTGCCCATTCCAATTCCAATTCCAATTCCAGACCCCTATTCCCGTGAATCAAACGGGGCCTTAGATTCAGCAGAAATGAAAGCTTTTTAAAAGTGACACATTTTCTAAGATATTAGGAAAAGAAAAAGCTATTTTACATGGAAGCTGTTGCAAGCATAAAAATAAACAAAGATGACGCAAGGTGGACAAGAGACCAAATTAAATCCAAGTGTATGAAAAACTGCAGACAAACGCTGAACAATTAAAATAATTTGTAATTGATTATATTGATCTTCTCCCTATCTGTAACAATAAAATGGATTGCATTAAAGTATGGAAGCAAACAAAAAGTATGATATACAAGATGAACATTAGAAGAATAATGAGCCCATGATATGCTTTAGAGATAAAGTGGCATCACCACGGTAAAGAAAACACACTCCACATTTTTTCTTGCAACCCCAGAATTTTTCATCAGCTATAGCATTAAGCACCCTATCAAAGCAGTCATGAACCCAAAATATCTTTGATTGCATTAAGAATATAGTTAATCATGAATCCTAAGACCATGTGATGCAAATGCATCATTGACACTTAACTCATGGTATATAACTAAAATGTGTTAGAAAACTGTGAAAATGCCAGGATCTGGATTTGTTAGATTCCTGAGGGTGCCTTTTTCCTGGTAACTGGACAAACCGACTACCATAACTCAGCATGCATTCATATCAAAAACTAGATTTTTGATAGATATCATCAAAAACTAGATATAAGTGCATGATATAAGCATATTATATGTGCTACCTGCACCCAATAGCTATGTCCAGGATTTTAGGAAATGGAGTTGTATCGTTGTTTTGTTAGACAGTGTATGCCCTTAGCTCCAATCAGATTGATGTACATTATGACATTTATTGTAAATGAATAAAGTACATATTTGATTCATATTATTGTGGTGTGTTTCTGTGTAATACCCTTAAATTGGACACATATGAGACTTGTGTTAGTTTAGAATGTTCACAACCGTTGGATAAGTCTGGGGAGATTTATCCT